CAGCCGAGCTACTACGAGGATGGGACTCCTCGTGTCTGTAAGTTGCTGAAGAGTCTGTATGGCCTCAAGCAAAGCCCGATGCTGTGGTATGAGGCCTTGGATGGGGTGCTGCTTGGGGCTGGATGGAAGAAGAGCCAGGTGGATGAGGCTCTGTACTTCAAGAGTGATGCTGAGGGGGAGATGTGCTGGCTGCTGGTGTATGTGGATGATTTGCTTGCTGCCAGCCGCAGTCAGAGCATGCTGGGGGAGCTACGTGAGCTGCTGCAGAGTGCGTTTCAGCTGCGGGAGATTAGCCCTGTGGAGAAGTACCTGGGGCTGCAGCTGATTCGGGACAGGCCTACGAGGAGGCTGTGGCTGCACCAGGGGGCCTACGTGGACAAGGTCCATAGGCGCTTCTTCGACGGGGAGCAGCCGCTGCGAGTGCCTCGCACCCCCCTTTCCTCTGACCCTTTCAGTGTGCAGACCTTTGAGGATGCGGGATGGCAGTCTCGCCAGGAGGAGGAGTACAGGCAGAAGGTGGGATCCTTGCAGTTCGCAGCCTGTACCACCCGTCCCGACATCTCCTTTGCCTGCAGCAAGCTGGGGTCAGGCCAGACTGTGCGGAGTGACCAGCACTGGAAGGAGTTGGACCGATGCTTGGCATACTTGGTGGGGAGCAGGGATGTGGCGCTGGAGTTTGGTGGTGGGCCTGAGTCCTTGGAGCTGGTGGGCTACGCCGATGCTGATGATGCAGGAGACAAGCAGAACAGGACTAGCACTGGTGGCTATGTCTTCGTGCTCGGAGGTGCCGCTGTCTCCTGGGCGAGCCAGAGGATTCGTTGTGCCACCCTCTCCTCCACTGAGTCTGAGTACGTTGCTGCTGTGGAGGCTGGGAAGGAGGCGCGCAGGCTGCGCTTCCTGCTGGCAGAGTTTCAACTGCTGAGGAGTGAGGTTCCCACTACGCTCTTTGTGGACAACTCCTCCGCCATTTCAGTGGCAGGTGGCATGGGGCTCAAGGGGAGCCTCAAGCACATGGAGCGTCGTCACATGTGGCTGCAGCACATGGTCAAGCGCAGGAAGCTGCAGCTGCAGTACATCCCTACGAGCGAGCAGCCTGCCGACTACCTTACCAAGGCTTTGCATTTCCCCGCCTTCAGTCGTTGCTTCGAGGCTGTGGGGCAGGTGAGGCTCTCGAGCGAGGGGAGTGAGACCTAGACTCTCCATGGTGGGTATGGTGCCATGGCCTATCCATGGCTGGTGCGGTGCGTGTTTGCACTTTGAGAGTGCTTCGTTTGTGTGTGTTTCCCTTTGTTTTGGTGTGTATGTGTGTATGCATGCCCTGTGATTATAAAGGGCCTTGCTGTAGTATGGCAGGGGAGTGTTAGAGGGCCCTACGACAGCAAGGGCCCTCGATGACCTTTGACTTGGCAGGTCAGCGCCTAACGACTGAGTCTACTCGGCACCGACGCATGCGTTCGGTGGCAGTCACTAGTACCTGTGGGTGACAGCGAGCTACCGCAGCAAACTCGGCGGAGTCAGTGCAGGATGGCGTGGGTCTTTGGGAGTTGGGCGTGCTTCTTTGAGAGTCACGCCACTCCTTGCAGTGTTGGCTGGAGTGGCGTGCACGGAAGTGGTTTGCGCTGCTGAGTTGGGTTGGGAATTGGCCGAGGCGCGTTCACCCACCCACACGACAGTTTCGTGGGGTTGGGTTACTGCGCAGCGCCACGGCAACTTTGTGCAACTCTCCCGTAGCCATATATCTATTGTGTGTTTGCTTGTATGAACTTCATAGTTGATATTACAATTCTACTTGGTTTCTCACTTAGTCATTTGAGACCAACGCTACCCAAACGCTACCGAATTACTGGCACAACATCAATTCCCATAGCCGAAACTCTCTCGCCGTCGTAACGCTTTCCATAGTATTCCTTCAATACCTAGCCAAAAGTATACTGAAGGACATACCTCCTCGCCACTATGCCCACACACACGGCGTCCTTACTCTAGCACTAAAAAGGTAACTTCCAAAAGCGGTGCAAGCCATTGCGATTATAGCTCTTCTCACGCATAGGTCATACGCCGACAGAGCCATTGTTTATTTTTCGGCGCCTGATACACGGAGCATTCCGCATCAAAGTGAGAACGCCTTAGCCATTCCCTTTCCTGCGGCCCGATTTCCCTTCGCCGACGCAAAGTTCCTCTTCCCGTCGCCTAATCCCCCTTCCCGGCGCCCGATTTCCCTTTCCCGCCGCCATGAAACCCCAGTCACGCTGCCCGATTCGGAACGCCGCTCGACTCCTTGTTCTCGCCGCCCGATTCCCCGTCATGCCTGGCGATTCTTCTTTCCCGCCGCCCGATTTCCCTTTCCCGTCGCCCTACTCCCCTTCCCGTCGCCCGATTCATGTTCCCCCCCCGCCGCCCGATTCATGTTCCCGCCGCCCGGTTCCCCTTCCCCTTTCCCGCCGCCCGAATCTCACTCCGCGCCGCCTGAATCCCCTTTCCCGCCCATTGATTCCAGGCGGGCCGCCCGTCCGCCCCTTCCCGCCGTCCGATTCCCGTTCCCGCCGCCCCCGCTTCCCCTTTCCCGCCGCCCGATGCGCCTTCCCGCCGCCCGCTTCCCCTTTCCCGCCGCCCGATGCGCATTCCCGCCGCCCGATCCCCTTTTCCCGCCGCCTCCCTTTTCCCCTGTCCGTCGCCCGACCCCCCTTCCCGTCCTTCTCCTCCCTTCCATCCCTTCTCTCCCTTCCCTCCCTTCTCTCCCTTCCATCCCTTCTCTCCCTTCCCTCCCTTCTCTCCCTTCCATCCCTTGTCTCCCTTCCCTCCCTTCTCTCCCTTCCATCCCTTCTCTCCCTTCCCTCCCTTCTCTCCCTTCCCTCCCTTCTCTCCCTTCCCTCCCTTCTCTCCCTTCCCTCCCTTCCCTCCTTTCCCTCCAATCCCTCCCTTCTCTCCAGTCTCTCCCTTCCCTCCCTGTCTCCCTTCCCTCGCTTCCCTCCTTCCCGCCCTTCCCTCCCTTCTCTCCCTTCCCGCCCTTCTCTCCCCCCTTACCTTCTCTCCCTTTTCTCCCTTCCCTATCATCCGTCCTTGCAATCTCCTGTCTCTCCCTTCTCTCCTTTCTCTCTCTTCTCTCCCGTCCCTCCCTTCCCTCCCTTCCCTCCCTTCCCTCCCTTCTCTCCATTTTCTCCCTTCCCTCATCCCGACTTCCAATCTTCCGTCTCTCCCTTCCCTCCCTTCTCTCCCTCCTCTCCCATCTCTCCTTTCCCTCCCTTTTCTTCCATCCCTCGCTTCCCTCCTTCCCTCCCTTCTCTCCCTTCCCGCCCTTCTCTCCCCCCTTACCTTCTCTCCCTTTTCTCCCTTCCCTCTCATCCCTCCATGCAATCTCCTGTCTCTCCTTTCTCTCCCTTCTCTCCCGTCCCTCCCGTCCCTCCCGTCCCTCCCGTCCCTCCCGTCCCTCCCGTCCCTCCCGTCCCTCCCGTCCCTCCCGTCCCTCCCGTCCCTCCCGTCCCTCCCTTCCCGCCCTTCTCTCCCTTCAATACCTTCGCTCCCTTCCCGCCCTTCTCTCCCTTCAATACCTTCGCTCCCTTCCCGCCCTTCTCTCCCTTCAATACCTTCGCTCCCTTCCCGCCCTTCTCCTCCCCCCCACCGTATCTCCGTTACCTTCCATTTCATCCCTACCCATCCTCGTCTCTCCCTCCCGACATCTCTCCTGCTTCTCCTTTCACTCCCTTTCATCCCTTGCCTCCCTTGACTACCTTCCCTCCCTTCTCTCCCTTCGATAGAAGTCTCTCCGTTCCCTCCTTTTCTCTCCCTTCTCTCCCGTGTCTCCCTTCCTCGCCCTTCACTCCCTTCCCTCCCTTCTCTCCCATGTCTCCCTTCCCTCCCCTTCCCTCCCTTCCTCCCTTCTCTCCCTTCACTCCCTTCCCTCCCCTTGCCCTCCCTTCCCTCCCTTCTCTCCCTGCCCTCCCTTCCCTCCCTGCCCTCCCTTCCCTCCCTTCTCTCCCTGCCTTCCTGTCCCCCATCCTTCCTTCCTTACGCACTCCTCCAGCCATTCTCTCCTCTTGCAATCCTCACTGCCATCCTTCCCTTCCGCTAAACCTGTAACCAAGCCCCTTTCGATTCTCTTGTCGTCACCTCCCAAGCAACAGCGGCATTGCCATGGGAAATTTCAACATGCATCTCCCACCTACCCCCACCTACTCCCATCTCCCCTCCCCCTACCACCTACTCCAATCTCACCTCCCCTTTCCCCCCCTTACCACGGGATTTCAGCCCACCACGCCTCCCCATACCACCTACTCACATCGTTGCTCCCCTCCCCCTACCACATACAACATACTCCCATCTGACCTCCCCTTCCCCTGCCACCTACTCCCTTCTCATCTCCCCTCCCCTACCACCTCTCCTGGCCCTATCAGGCACTCTTTGCTCACCTCCCATCCCCCTACCAGGGGCATTCTTCTCACCTCCCCTCTCCTACCTCTTCTTACCCCCTCCTCTACCAAGGGCGCTCTGCTCACACCCTGCCCCTCCAGGTCCCCCACACTTATGTGTTTCTTTCTTAGTTGAATCTGACCTCCTACAGCCCTCACATTGTATTCCCTTGCTCGATTTCTGTGCTTGTGTTGCAGGTGGGGTGCTTTCCTGACTGCACATCCTACGCCTCACAGGGCACATAACAGCCTGCAACCTGGGCTTGGATAGGCTGCGATTGCAATGGGAATGGCAGGGGAGCATGGCAACGGCTACGAGCAAAGCAGCTTCAAGCCTCTCGGTCAATCGGCCTGTCCTTATACGATCCAAGTATTCAATCTTCCGCCTTGAACATTAGCACATAAACACACCCTCTTTTCCCCTTTTAGGTATTTCTTACTGACCCAACACATCGTGCCATCAAACTCATGTTTGTGTTTTTACCAACTGGTTATTGAACGTAGTGCTTTGTGACATCATTACAGGTTGCTGACTTCAACACTTTTTGTAGCCAGTTCCCTACCATAACACAGTATGTAAACAAAGCACTACGTTCAATAACCAGTTGGGTGAGGGATGAGGAGAAGAAAGGATGGGGTGAGAAGGGATGCGGAGAAGAAAGGACGGGGTGAGGAGGGATGAGGAGAAGAAAGGATGGGGTGAGGGATGAGGAGAAGAAAGGATGGGGTGAGGGATGAGGAGAAGAAAGGATGGGGTGAGAAGGGATGCGGAGAGGAAAGGATGGGGTGAGGGATGAGGAGAAGAAAGGATGGGGTGACGAGGGATGAGGAGAAGAAAGGAGGGGAATCAGCGGGGGAAAGCAGGGGAAGTACGGGGGGGAAAGGCGAGGCAGAGAAGTGGAGGAAAGGAGGGGAAGCAGTGGGGGAAAGGAGGGGAAGCACGGGGGGGAAAGGCGAGGCAGAGAAGTGGAGGAAAGGAGGGGAAGCAGTGGGGGAAAGGAGGGGAAGCACGGGGGGGAAAGGCAAGGCAGAGAAGTGGAGGAAAGGAGGGGAAGCAGTGGGGGAAAGGAGGGGAAGCACGGGGGGGAAAGGCGAGGCAGAGAAGTGGAGGAAAGGAGGGGAAGCAGTGGGGGAAAGGAGGGGAAGCACGGGGGGGAAAGGCGAGGCAGAGAAGTGGAGGAAAGGAGGGGAAGCAGTGGGGGAAAGGAGGGGAAGCACGGGGGTGAAAGGCGAGGCAGAGAAGTGGAGGAAAGGAGGGGAAGCAGTGGGGGAAAGGAGGGGAAGCACGGGGGTGAAAGGCGAGGCAGAGAAGTGGAGGAAAGGAGGGGAAGCAGTGGGGGAAAGGAGGGGAAGCACGGGGGGGAAAGGCGAGGCAGAGAAGTGGAGGAAAGGAGGGGAAGCAGTGGGGGAAAGGAGGGGAAGCACGGGGGGGAAAGGCGAGGCAGAGAAGTGGAGGAAAGGAGGGGAAGCAGTGGGGGAAAGGAGGGGAAGCACGGGGGTGAAAGGCGAGGCAGAGAAGTGGAGGAAAGGAGGGGAAGCAGTGGGGGAAAGGAGGGGAAGCACGGGGGTGAAAGGCGAGGCAGAGAAGTGGAGGAAAGGAGGGTAAGCAGTGGGGGAAAGGAGGGGAAGCACGGGGGGGAAAGGCGAGGCAGAGAAGTGGAGGAAAGGAGGGGAAGCAGTGGGGGAAAGGAGGGGAAGCACGGGGGTGAAAGGCGAGGCAGAGAAGTGGAGGAAAGGAGGGGAAGCAGTGGGGGAAAGGAGGGGAAGCAGTGGGGGAAAGGAGGGGAAGCAGTGGGGGAAAGGAGGGGAAGCAGTGGGGGAAAGGAGGGGAAGCAGTGGGGGAAAGGAGGGGAAGCAGTGGGGGAAAGGAGGGGAAGCAGTGGGGGAAAGGAGGGGAAGCAGTGGGGGAAAGGAGGGGAAGCAGTGGGGGAAAGGAGGGGAAGCAGTGGGGGAAAGGAGGGGAAGCAGTGGGGGAAAGGAGGGGAAGCAGTGGGGGAAAGGAGGGGAAGCAGTGGGGGAAAGGAGGGGAAGCAGTGGGGGAAAGGAGGGGAAGCAGTGGGGGAAAGGAGGGGAAGCAGTGGGGGAAAGGAGGGGAAGAAGTGGGGGAAAGGAGGGGAAGCAAGGGGGGAAAGGAGGGGAGGCAGGGACGGAAATGAGGGGAAGCAGGGGCGGAAATGAGGGGATGCGTGGGGGGAAAGGAGGGGAAGCAGGGGCGGAAATGAGGGGATGCGTGGGGGGAAAGGAGGGGAAGCAGGGGCGGAAATGAGGGGATGCAGGGACGGAAATGAGGGGATGCAAGGACGGAAATGAGGGGATGCGTGGGGGGAAAGGAGGGGAAGCAGGGGCGGAAATGAGGGGAAGCAGGGGCGGAAATGAGGGGATGCGTGGGGGGAAAGGAGGGGAAGCAGGGGCGGAAATGAGGGGAAGCAGGGGCGGAAATGAGGGGATGCGTGGGGGGAAAGGAGGGGAAGCAGGGGCGGAAATGAGGGGAAGCAGGGGCGGAAATGAGGGGAAGCAGGGGCGGAAATGAGGGGATGCGTGGGGGGAAAGGAGGGGAAGCAGGGGCGGAAATGAGTCCAAACGTGTGGACGCGGCCTTACGCATTTCGTGTATTGGAGAAATCCGTGAGGCGAGCAGCGCGTTACTGGTGGCTGCAGTAGGATGGCTGGCTCGCGCGCGCTCCTAGACTGAATTTCGCTGGAGAGCGCGTGCTTGCAACCGCGTGCTGTTTGCTGGGGCATCTAAGCGTCACATGCGCTCGCTGTGCTGGCGCGCCGCGCGGTATGCAGGTGCCGCTTTGCGGCGCGCGTTTTGCTGGCAAGCGCAGCTCTGCTGAGCGCGCTATGCTAGCGCGCGCGGAATGCCAGCATAGCGCGCACAAGTGCCGCGCGCGGATGCCAGCACAGCGCGCGCAAGTGTTGCGCGCGGAATGATAGCGTAACTGGCGCAAGTCCCGCTAACGGAATGCTATCATTGCTGGCGCCAGTGACGCGCGCGGAATGACACGACACACACGGAGTGCCACCATCGCTGGCGCTAGTGACGCTCGCAGGCGTCGCCTGTTCTGCACACGGCTAAATACTCACCCGCGTCTATGTATGTGGTCGCGCTGCTGGCCTAGCACCCTCCGGCCTGCTGCCTAGTACCTAAACTAGTAGCTACTAGATGCGTATTCCCCGTAGTGTGTGATGTGGCAAGTTCGGTGACGGGAGGTGTTTCCCATTTTGTGACCCACAACCTACCCAACCCTGCTCCTCTTACAACTGAAGCGCTCCAGTTTTTCGCCAACACTCTCGCTATTCTGTTTACATTTTCGTTGAGGCGAAATCGCCTGGCACACTGTACAGAAACAACAGTGCTGCCAAATGTATACTGCTGCTTTAAAGAAATCCCACGTGGCTCACCTTCAGGAATGAAGGGGAGTGTTGGAATAACCGAAATGTTCTGCAACATTCCCAAAGGCTCTCTCCTAGCACACCACCTCATAACGAAGCAGTGCTCTTGTATCAGTATCGCTGCATGCTCGTATAGAGTACTCGGTAGCTTGAGAGCCACCCGAAGGTCAACAGTCACCGAAAGTCAACAGTCGTGACTGTTGACCAACCAACAACCGCATCAGACATCGCAACTCTACTGGTGTTCGCTGGGAAACAGCTGGTGGTTAGCTGGGCGATATCGTTTCCTCGCAGTTTGCTTCCAGTGTTTTTTTCAAATTGCCCTCTGTTTCCGAGCTGCCAGTGATCACCCGCAGTTACCCAAATTTCGGTTCGTGTTGTCACGGAACAGATTGCGGGCAATCTGCCCAAAAGGCAATCCGTTGGAGCGATGGACATCGAGCGGTGAAAAACGGTGCGATGGTTTAGAAAACTTCTGCGCGAAATTAAAATTGACATGTTCACAATATAATACTTGTTTCCAATAACTTTTACTGCAGTCACAATGAAAGTCTCTATTCGGCCGGTTTTCTGCAAATGCATTCATAGTTTCACAAGAAGATCAAAATCAACTTGTAAGCACATGTTTACCATCATAAGTTGATACCGTTCCTGAAAAAACGATAGAGCGTACGCGAGTGGTTACCAGGGCGCTTGCCGTTAGCGACTGAAACTAACGGTAACCAAGCCGCGAACCCCTATTGACGGCTCGTTTTCAACCCGCGAGAGTTACTGCAGGACCATAATTCGGCCGCGTCGCAAACCATGCTACGTGCGAAAACCGTACGTAACATTTTGCAACGTCATTATGGCAGGTTAGGGTTGGAGGGTTTAGGGAGCGATGTAGAATGGTTTTGCGGGTTGCATGGCGGTACAACCATCTCGAAAACCACCTGTAAGGACCATGTAGCCGTTCGTCTCCAACCCCTCCCTTTCCCCCGTCACAATCAGAGCAGTAACAAACATTAGAGCAGGCATAACTTGCCCGCCATGGCGCCGCCGTTGATCCCGCCGTCCCGCTATGAACGGCCGTTTTTAGTCTTTTTGGCCCGGTTTTTTTTTTTATTCAAGTGCAGCCTCCCGATCCATGCGATGCGCAGCTCGCATCTAAGAAGGGCGCGTCGACATTTCAGGCAGAAGTAGGGCGCGACAGAAACGCGTTTCATTCAAATTAGCTTCGATTTTCGCCCCCCCCAAACGATTTAGCGACTCCGCCGACACATCAGCGTATGCGCGGCTTGCAGACGCGGTGTAGAGTGCGCGAAAGTGCCGCGGCTTGAGGGATCAATGTTGTAGGTGTTTTTTTTTTTAACAATTTCAGATTTTGTTAGATCCAGGCCGTGTTCTTGCGCCCACTTGCCCTTCCCAGTCATACCTAACCGTTTGACATGGCTGCTGACTGCGTGCAGGTCCAGGGGAGGATGCTGAAGTTCTTGCATGTATATTAGAGTTGGGTTGTTATTTGGTTAATAGCAGTTAGCTCAGAATTTCTCACAATTTGTGTGCATCACACGGTGCCTTACATCCCAGTGTACCTTTTATTAGTCATGGACTTTACATGTGCCTGTGGATTCCTTTGCACTACTGGGCAGGGGTTGATTAATCACAAAGCGGTGTGTAGAAAGAGTTTACCTACCACCGAGAGTGCAAACGCACGGATACTAGAAGGGCTGAAGCGTAAACGTGCGAATGACTTGAACCGGCTGTCGCGTGCACGAGTTGCTCCACGTGGAGCAGCAGGTCCGTCTTTGACCCCTAGTGGCGCACCTCCTGCACAAACCGGCGTCAACTCTCCCCCGATAGAGTTTCCGGCGTCGGACGATAGTGATGGCGACGACGATAGCTTAGAGTTCTCAACAATAGGTGCTACAGCAGAGCCTCCTCCACAGAAACTCCCGTTTGACACAGATCTTGCTTTGGCGAAAGCGATCCGCGGTTTTAATGGAGGCATGGGGATGTCAGCAACTGACATTAACACGTTACTAAGCGTGTTGCATGAGGTTGGTTACTTGAAGCCATCATACAAGAACAGCGAAGGCTTGGCGAAGTACGAGAAGTCGTTGCTGTCGGAGGCTTCGGGCACGGTGGAATGGAGAGCGGTAGAGGTGGTGCTGAGCAACGGCATGAAAGTTACAGTGCACGTAACCTCCATGGCGGAGGCTCTTAAGGCGATGTATTCGGATAGCGCGAACAGGGACAGGTTTGTGGTGAAACCGGCAGCGGTCTACACGTCAGACAAACAACAACGGATATACGCGGGGCCCGAGACGGGAGACGGTTGGATTAAGATGCAGGAAGAATGTCTGCGGGGTGGCGTGATCGCAGCTTGCATTCTGTACAGCGACGGAACAAACCTGAGCAACGATGGGCGTGTTACGGGACACCCGGTCTACTTTACGCTCGGCAATATCACGCTGAAGAATCGCTGGCAACCACACGGACATCGGATGGTTGCTATGCTTCTGCCACTTCCAAACGTGGATTCGCGGACGGACGAAGGGAAGGCACTTCATCGGGAAGTCTTTCAACTGGCTTTGGATGTGGTTCTCGAGGAACTCAAAAAGGCATCTTACGCGTGAGTATCTATCAAGTGCGCGAGTGTGTGCTTTTCATTGTTTTGGGTGTGGATTTATGTGTCGCTACGTTGAGATCTTGCATGGTTTTTTCATTTGCACATCCTAATTCCCTCCCCTTATAATCGTGTCTCTTCTCTGTTCATCACTCTATGTGACCTGCGCAGAGGCATTGTAACGGAGGACCCCTTTGGGAAGGTGCAAGTGGTGTTTCCCGCGGTATACGCATACGTGGCCGATCACCCCGAAGCGTGCAAGCTGCCGGGGACATTCGCAAGTCACAAAGCGAATTTCCCGTGCCACAGGTGTCTGGTAAAACGTGAAGACATAAGCAACATGGAGGCGGTGGTGGCATATCGCACGGAAGTTGACCAGAAGAAAAAAGTGGCCGAGTTGTTGGAGTTGCCGAGTGGGCCCGAGCGCACAAAGGCGTCAAAAGCAATCAGCACTCATCCTATCAAGGTGGGTATCGTTTGCGAGTTCTTCCTTTTGTACTTGTGAAGCGGTTTTTACTGTTTTTTTTTTCTCATCCTATGTGTATGTGCACGTACGTGCAATCCTTCATTTTTCACACACCGTCCCACGTCTAATGTGCGTAATTGCTTGACTCGTTCTTCGTTCCAAGGGTTATATCGTTTGACCAAAGTCTTTGTTTCACACACACCCCCGCGCAGGTAGCCTTGTGGGGCTTCAGGAACGGACATACCCTCGTCGGCAATCCATATCGGGCCTTACTGGTGGAGGTGATGCACGCATTGGACCTTGGGGTCTTCTTGCACATCGTCTCGTGATTCGTGCGTATTACGCACGAGATCGCGAGTTCCTACATTCGCTCGACGTCGAGTTGCAGCGGATTGCTACCGACACTCGAATCTCGTGCTTCCGAATTCCATCTTCTGAAAAGGGCGGTTATTTTGCGGGTGCTGCACGGTTTCAGGCGTTTGAGCATCGCGCGGTGATGCAAGTGATCACAATCGTACTCGCCAACTGCAGCGTGCCGAACTCGATCGTTGGTGCGGTTGCGGCATTCGTGGATTGTTACATGCTTGCATCCCGGCGTTGGTATCATACCACGAAGACGCTGCAAGAACTTGACGAGGCCATTAAGAGGTACGTTTCTTCCTACCGTTTTTCTGGGTTTGGTGGTTCAATTCTTGAATGTTTTGTTGTCCTCCCTTCATTTTCCCCGCGTCCTAACGCTTGTATTTCATGCTTGTACCATGCTTTTCATGCTTGCAAGTCTGTTTGTGTCTTGTGCAAACAAACCTTGTGCGTGTCGGTGTGTTATGCGTGCCCCACACTTGTGCAGGTTGATTCCGCTCTTGAAGGATGTGTTCGCGGGCCTTCAAAAGTCGGAGTTCGACATCACCAAGGTGCATTCATTGGCACACGTGGTGGAGGACATCATTCGATCGGGGGTGCCGATGCATTACAGCGCCAACATGTACGAGTACCTTCATCAACCACTAGTGAAGCGCGCGTACCGTGCAAGCAACAAGAGGGATCCAATCCCTCAAATTGTGAAGCACGATATGCGAATGCACATGCTACGCGTGCTTCAAGCATCGGAGGCACCGAGCGAAGATGGACCAAAACGGATGGTGGCACTACATGAGGTACGTTTGTGTGTGTTTGCGTGTGTGTGCGTGCGTGCGTGCGTGCGTGCGTGTGTGTGTGTGTGTGTATGTGTGTGCGCGCGCGCGCATGGGTGTGTGTGTGCGTGTGCGTATGTGTGTGTGCACGCGCGCACGTGTGTGTGTGCGTGTGCGTGTGCGTGTGTGCGTGCGTTTGTATGTGTGTGTGTGTGCGCGCGCGCTCGCGTGCGTGGGTGCGTGCGTGTCTGTGTTTGTGTGCGTGCACGTGTGTGTGTATGTGTTACGTGTGTGTGTGTGTGTGGGCGTATTTGAGTGGTTTTACGAGGGCACGTGTGTGTATGTGTGTGAAGAGGGTGTGAAAGTGTGTGTGTGTGTGTGTGTGTGTGTGTGTGTGTGTGTGTGTGTGTGTGTGTGTGTGTGTGTGTTTCTGTTATGATCGATGGTTTGCTATTGTACCCTGTACTATTATTGACCATCCTTTCTCTAACCGAAGTGCACTTTACCATGCATTTTGCAGGCGATGGAGAGTGGTTGCAACACGCTTGCAGCCACCAGCTTCAGTGTAAGCTGGAAGCAAAGCCTTGCGGATGGGTGTGACAAGTGGAAAGCGCATGCTTTGGCCGCGCCAGGTGACATGACCAAGCTCAAAGGGTTGTTGGAAGGCAAAGCAGAAGAAGGCGAGGTACTGAATAGTACCATACGTGTGAAGAACGGCATGGCTATTCCCGGGGACGAGGACTTCACCAAGTACTCCAGTCAGACACACTATGTGCGAGCCTGCGCGTCTTTCGGGGACAAACCATGGTTCAGCGACGTGGCAGTGCTTGGTGAAGAGGAGGTTGCGGCTGCAGGGGGTGAGATCACAAAGCGCAAGGTGATCTTGTATGCGAAGCTGCTGCTGCTTTTTACCATCGACGTGTACACGCCAGAGACACAGGCGTTTACCAAGCGCGCGTACGCCTTTGTACGCTATTTCAGAGCCACTGGAGCGGTAGCCGAGCTTCTCCTCAATCAACTCCATTTTTACTTCATTGCTCGAGGTTCTAATTCATGCTCCTAGCCTGTTAGTGGCGTTCTTGCAGCCATGGCGGTTGGCGTGCCAGCGGAGATAACGGAGCTGCAGCGTAAGCGTTCACGTACCTCAAACAGACGCCTGGAAGGGTATGAGCTGGGTAGCCCTACCACTGGCGCTCGTAGAGTCTCTACCCCTGCCCATCATGTGGGTAATGCTAGCGCCCTTCAGGAATGACCAACTCTGCATGACCTCGAGGCCGGTGTCGCCGAACACACCGCGGATAACGACGTAGCTTCGCCCCACAATGCTTCTAACGCCACTGCTCCTGTAGTGCAACGTCCTGCCGCTTTAAACGTCGTTGCCTCTGCTGGACCCGGAGGTACGTTCAATGCTTTGACCTGCAGTTGTTTAAACCTCAATTCTAACCGAGAGTATGTCGTCCAGTTACTCTTTTTAGTTTCCGTTTGTTTAACCTGATTTCTTGTCTCTCCTACCTTTCTGTTTCTCAGTTGTTCCCACATCAGATCGTGATGTTCACCACCCCGAGGCCAACTCCTATAACCACATCGACGCAGCCATACGCGGCGAACCGAAAGAACTTAAAACGCTTATGCAGCGTATTGAAACCCGTCTTCGCGTTTCGGATGAGATCCAGCAGACTCTAGCTACGACTGTCAAGAATCTTCTTGAGATTGTGCACCAACCGAGCTGGTGCAACGAGAGAACCATGGAGGTAAGTTTTATGCTTTATATGTTTGGTTGATAGTTCATGTTAGTTTCTAAATATGTACCAAACGTGTTCTTGTTGCAGGATGCTTGCAAGAAAGCCTGTGATGATTTGCTCAAGGGCTCGGACGTCTCCGCGCGTGTCATTTACCCCGACGAAGAACAATTCAAGGCGGCCGTCGTGGTGCACCTCGCTCTGGAGCCTGAAGACTTCGGGAAATTCAACGACTTTTGGAAGAACGGCGAGTGGCCGAAGAAGTGCACCGATATTTGCAACGGCCGGCGTGGGAAACTCGGGAACAAGTCTCGGAAGGCAAGTTTCAAGCTGCTGAAGTACCCTGACGGCAAAGAAGTGAAAGACTCCCGTGACGATCGTCGCGATTATGCGCGATTCTGCGTCTCAGGTACGTGTTATTTTTTGCGGTTGCCCTTGTTATGACTGGTTTCTTACACTTTTGTTTCTCATTTTACAGAGGAGTATGGCTTGCCGTGGCATGCTGAGGATGAGAAGCCGTTCTGTAGCGAGGCGTTTTTAGCTGCTGCAAGCAAGTGGCAGAAGAAAGAGGGGGGTGTCTTCTCCCTGAGCATCGATCAGCTTTGCTACACAATGGTCGCGGTGAGTTTGAGCTTCTTGGTCTGTTATTTGTTTCTTGTTATTTTATGTCTAATTCAATTGCCCTTGATGTGCCTGCCAGGTAGAGTTCGAGATGCTACCTCGTGATCGAAGCAGCATGTTTTCCGACTCCGAGAACAACACCCGCGAGATGAACAAGAGGAAGGCTCAGGTTGACAGCTGGATCCGTCGCGCAAGCATCCCATTAGTAAGCGGGTTTTACTATTTTGGGGATGTTATTGTCAAAGATTAGCAGATTGTAACGGATCTTTAGGAGCTAGAATTAGCTGTAGAGGATGTAGAATTAGTGTAGTTATTTTGAATTTGTATTTTCTAATTTCTAACCGATATTATTTGGTAGCGTTCATTGTTCATTGGTATAGCGGTTTTAAATCTTGATTACTGGTTTTAATTTTATTAGTCGTATTTGTTTTTACTTTCGTATCTCATATGGTTCAGATGTTGAACAGTGTAGTTATCTCAGTTAAAGGTACCTCTTTGTCACTTCTCGGTTTAGGAACAAATGTCCAATATCAATTACGATGACGCTTTTGACATTTACATTTTGTTTTCACGAGGTAACCATCTAAAAACTGGTGTTACGACTGTGGTTACTCTCATCTTTTCTGGTCTCGCATGTGCGAGGGCTTTCGACAACGAAGGTAACAACTTCGATTTGCTCGCCCCATCTGACATGCGATGCGCAAATTATACAATGCTGTCGCCTCGCAGGTTGGTTTCGGCAGTGCGCAGGTTGTCTGCATGGTGGTTCTGCTGTCCCACAATCACCCCCCCGCATTGAAAGTAGACTGACAGGACTCCCGAAATCGGGAGTCACTGGGAAGGCTTCCAGCTAATTGCTGGAAGCCTGAGTTCTTCGTGCGATGGAGGTTACGCAATGCAACCAAGTAATTGTCGAAGAATGGCAATAGTTACAGTTGCTGTAGTTATGCAATACAGTTGCAATAAGGGAATGTACCCCTCAGAGTACATGGCTAGCTAGGTATCTATTTAATCTCCTTGTAACTCTAGTGACAACTGGTGCCGCAACTTGCGGGACCACATTAAGAAGTGTGGCGGAACCGTCCCCGACGACATGTTCGTCTCGATGGTTGTTTCTGGCCTTGGACCCGATTGGCGCCAATGCCTATCCTTGCTTCGCGCTTGAGCAACTATTTCCGAGTCCGCTCTTTGCGCCACTCTTCTTTCGGAGCAGAAGGAAATCGACCTGCACAATGAGAAGAACAACAAGCGGGAGAAATTAGTGTTCTTCAGTGGATCGACTGAAAGGGAGCAACATGGAAAGAAGGGAACCTTATGCAAATTCTGCAAAAAGGCCGGTCACACCATAGATCGGTGCTACAACCAAAAGGCTGCCGACGAAAGGCGCAACAACTACTTATCTCGTCAGCAGTCTTCGGCGCCCCCGACGATACGAGCTGTGACGGCGACCTTGTAGCCACCATTCATCGCAAACACCTCACAAACTCCTGCATGCATCTCATCCAAGGACAAAAGCAAGGGATCAATCATGAGCTGCATGGCACGATAACGCAGAGGATTCCGATACTACGACACATCGAATTTCCCCGTATCGCGCCCACCAATCCCATCGCGCCCAATCCAAACAACGACCCGACTATTTACTACTGGATTGAACGCCCAACCAACATCCTGTCAGAGGTCCACTGGAGATCCCCGATTGATCCTAGGGAAGGGTTACAGGCACGTTGGCCTGGGGGGTTATGGGCGCACTCACCCGCTACACAAACAAGCCCTTTTATCCCGATGGAAGGACTCCCAGCTTCCGAATGGCGGGAGGCAGCATCCTTTCCACAGCTGCTCGTCACAGGCGAACCCGTTCACGCCGGAGACACGGACGACATAATCAAACTTCCGGACGCGGCCCTGCACCAAATTTCCCTTCGAGCCTTCGCAACGGACGCCGACGCTGTCAGCAACAAGGGACCTGGAAGGGAGCAGAACGACGCAGCCGAGAGAAACAAATACTATCAAAGGACCGTTGGTTATCGTGCAGAACCGGAAATCTGGCATCAACGGCTTGGCCACCCGTCGCACGTTACCCTAAAAAATTCACTCAAAGCCGGAGTCTTTGACGACGGCACACTGCTTCTCCCTCGCGGCGGATCTCTCACAACGGACTCAGAAGACCTGCCAAGCACCGTGTGCCCGGCCGCGTCACTCAACCACAAACCCTTCCCTGACCTACCCCTGGGCCACGAACGCTACAATCCGCTGGATAAGGTGTACAGCGACTTCATGGTTCTCAGTCAAGAAGGGCTCGACGGCGAATACTACACGCTTACCTTCATCGACGCATGCACACGCTACGTCTGGGCCGTCAACACTGATTGCCGCTCCCTCGCCTTCGAATGTTTCGTTGCATGGATGAAGCGGGCCGACGTCAATCTGGACTAAAGCTGAAAAGCTACCAGACCGACAGTGGGAGCCCTGGAGTTCTTCTCAGACGAGTTCAAGGAACTCTTCAAGCAGACGGGGATTGAGCACCTGGTGCCCCTGCCCTATGCCCATGAGCAGCAAGGAGTAGCAGAACGGACAAACATGAGCCTCGCCACCAGGATGAGGGCCCTGATGAAGCAGTCGGCCATCCCAACCAAATACTGGCCGTTTGCGATGAATCACGCTGTTCGGCTGCACAACTTGCTGTCCTCCCGAACCCTCGAGAACAACACCTCCCCTTACAAGGCTTCGACGGGCAGGAAAGCAGACACGCGTTTGCTTCGAGTGTTCAGCTGCATGGTACAGTATAGGCAGCACACAACAAGGACCGGAAAATTTGCTGACCGGGCACGATGGGGCATCCACCTCGGGATCGAAAAGGAATACAAAGCGTGGATCGTGCTGGACTACGTGACACACGAAGTGACAAAATCACGTGACTGCATCTTCTACGATAAGCTGACATTGCCACTGGTTAGGGAACACCGCGAAGCTGACAAGGCACCAGAAACGGTTTTTGAAGGACACCGCAGCTTCGCCACCTCACACGATGAAGCTGACCTGGCAGAAGACGCTGACGCAGCAGATGTCACACAATTTGACACCGCCCCCATCATCCCTCTTACACGACCACTCAATACTCCAACCTTCATACCTGTCTCCGAATTCGATCCTGGTGATAAAACTCGGGAAGTTCACAACTACAACAGTGTAGCGTGCAGGGATGCCGAGTTTCCAGCCCCAAACGCCTTGCAAGACACCATCCGCACCGGCGAGGACAGCCACAACGACGTGGTCGAGGTTACCAGCTTCCACGACTACGATCGCCTCCACTACGAAAAGACCAACGAAACGGGTCTCCGCACACTTGGGCTCGTTGTTGCTGTTCGCCACACCTCCCCCAAAGAACCAACCACCGTTCGCCAAGCCCTGTCCGACCCCGACAGTGAGAAATGGAAAGCAGCCATGGCTGCTGAAGTCGCGGCGCTGAAGAAACGCGGAACATGGAAGCTGGTTTCACGATCATCAGCGAAGGGGAGAAAAATCCTCAGCGGCAAGTGGGTCTTTCGCATTAAAACCCTAGACGGTTCCATTGACAAATTCAAGGCAAGATGGGTCGTTCGCGGCTTCGAACAAACTCACCTGGTGGACCTCGACCTGACTTACGCGCCTGTCGGACGGCACACCTCAGCGCGCATCCTCATCTGCATTACAGTCGTCAAGCAGCGTCCGCTCCGTCAAATAGATGTCGGCGGTGCATTCCTATACGCCCCCGTCGACGCAATCATCTTCGTCGAACAGCCACATGCCTTCGAAGAAGTCGACGGCACCGTCTGCCTTCTCCAGAAATCCCTCTATGGGATCAATCAGGCTCCTCATCGGGCAGCAGTACCTGCATACCGTCCTCACAGAACTTGGATTCAAGCAACTCCCACACGACCTCGGGATGTACCGTAAGGAGTCGCGCGGCAAATTCATTCTCCTCGTCGCCTATGTGGACGATCTACTCTACACCGGCGACGACATGGAGCTGCTAGATCGGTTCAAGGCAGACATTCAGGAGAAGCTCAAAGTGACAGTCAATCACAACGTCACGCAGTTCCTGGGTCTCAATATCACCCATTCCGCCTCCTCCATCCACCTCTCCGCTGCCAAGTATGCGGAAACACTCGCGAAAAAGTTCGCCATCGCGCCAATCAACCTCACCACCCCCTTCCGCACTCCTCCTCCTAACCATGAACCCGATACCACACCGCTCTCCATCGAAAACCACCGGCTCTATCAGCAGCAGCTGGGATGTCTCCTGTTCGCCGCCGTCACGTGCCGGCCGGATCTCTCCTACGTCGCAAGCCAGCTCGCACAGTACCTGAAGCGACCTGGAGGGGAGAATCTACTTCAATACGCCGAGCACTTCAATACTTCGTCTCTACCCCTGACGTCGGCCTCACCTACGAAGCTAACCTCACCGCCACCTTACAACTTCATGGCTACGTAGACACAGACCACGCAGGCGACACAGACAACAGACGCTCCCGCACATGATTCGTTTTTCAACTTCAACCTGTCGGACTCATCTCCTGGAATTCCCAGAAGCAGGAACTTATCGCTCTTTCGTCAGCCGAAGCTGAGTTCATCGCCGCCAGCGCAGCTGTTCGCGAAGAATTGTACCTGATGGAGCTCCTGCGGGAAGCGAAAGTGACGATGAATGGGCACTTCACGTTACTCTGCGACGATCATATCACGATCGAGATCGCGAACAAGCCTGGGTTCGTGAACCGCACGAAGCACATCGCACTCCGTTACTTCTTCGTCAAGGACGAGATCGACAAGGGGAGGCTAAAACCCACGTACTGCCCAACCAGTAACATGGCAGCCGACTTTTTGACGAAGAAACTGCCACGTCAAAAGTTCTAGCACTGCATCGACCTCTGCGGGATCTCAAAGAAATCCCTCGCGGCTCACCTTCAGGAATGAAGGGGAGTGTTGGAATAACCGAAAGGTTACTGCAGCATTCCCGAAGGCTCTCTCCTAGCGCTCCACCTCACAACGAAGCAGTGCTCGTACAGAGTAGTCAGTAGCTTGAGAGCCACCCGAAGGTCAACAGTCACCGAAAGTCAACAGTCGTGACTGTTGACCAACCGACAACCGCATCAGAGGTTACGCAATGCAACCAAGTAACTGTCGAAGAATGGCAATAGTCACAGTTGCTGCAGTAATGCAATATAGTTGCAATGAAGGAATGTACCCCTTAGAGTACATGGCTAGCTAGGTATCTATTTAATCTCCTTGTAACTCTATCTAGAATCATCTTGTGTTTTTTCAATTACTCTCAAGGTCACTACTCAAAAAGTATATTATCTTTCCTTTAACACTCAGCAAGGCTTATCCTATCCACTTCGATCCTTCAGTTATAAGAGCATGCTAACATGTATAGCGTACATCGTCTGAATAAGTTACCAGCTTACCGTATCAATACATTTCATACCTGGTAACAGAAAAGACAAGCACTTAGCGAGCGAGCAGCTAAATTCACAAGCCATCAAAACCAAGGCCATGCACGCTTACTTGGGCCCCCCATTGCCCCACGGCCAACACGAGTGGCAAGTGACTTGTGTGGGTGGTCCATGACAAGTGAAGTGACTCATGGCGTGCGGTGCGTCACTCCAGCACCAGGTGCTGCAGCATGTGCTCTATCTCCGGTCGCTGCGCCACCCACGCGCCAAACGACTCCCCACTGCCCCCCGCTCCTGCCTTTGCCCCCCCTGCCTCGACCACAACCTTGCCCTTGCTGCTGCTGGCAGCAGCGCTGGCTGATGCCCTGGAGAAGAGGTAGGAGCGGTAGGCTATGAGGTAGCAGTAGCGCCTGCACCCAACGGACGCGGGATGGGGAGGCGAGGAGGGCGAGGTGGAATTCACGAAAAAACGTGTCGGTAGACGTAACTATACGTAGAAATGTCTGGGATTCACGGATTGAAAAGTAGCATTATTGAGAAAATGCATACGAGAGGCTGCATAAGTGAAGGGTAGCAAAAGGGATAGACAGCATAGACAGTTAGCAAGAAACACGAATAAAACATGCATTTGAAACTTGCATGGCTGTGTCATTGCGTTTTCTCGCTAAGTTGGGAAGCAAGACATTAGCTAGCGTGCCCGTACAGCTAGCATGCCCGTACATCTGAGCGCCTTGAGCCCATCTGACCGCCTTGAGCCCACCTGAGCGCCTTGCCTCATCTCACCTGAGCGCCTTGAGCCCCATGTCGGTGAGTGCCGCCCGCCTGTCCCGGTCCACCGTGTCGTCGCCCTGCACCGCCTCCGCTGCCCGCCTGTACTCCCCCGCATCCTCCACTATCCGCCCCACTGCCAGCAGCCTGCAGAGGGGAGTGCAGGGTGAATGGGGCAAACACATGATGGAGAGGAGAACACACGGTGGAGAGGAGAACACACGATGGAGAGGAGAACACACGGTGGTAAGGGGGGGAGGGGGGGGGAGAAGACATGGTGGAGGGAAAAGCACACATGGACAGGCACAGCGCGCACATGCAAAAAGTGCTGTCAGTGGCACCGTGCTTCCTTGTCAGCAATGGACCCCTCACCCTCCTGTTGCCTCATGCACATTTGAGGCATGCCCTCTCCTTTCCAATCAGCCCAACCCTGTACAACAGCAACGTGATTCTCATCACCTCCACAGTGTCCCCACCTCTGCGCTGCCCACCTGTGCCTTGCCGCCCACCTGTGCATTGCCGCCCACCTGTGAGCGACGGCATCCACGAGTCGCTTGCAGTGCGGCCCCTTCGCGAGCACCCGCTCCAGCTGCAGCACGTTGCGGTACTCCCCTGCCTGCTCCCTCGCCCCTCCCCCCTTTCCCCCCACACCGCCAGCAGCCTTGGGAACCGGATTGGAGGCAGCAGCAGCAGCAGCAGCAGTGAGTGAGGAAGCAGCAGCGGCCTTGGCGAGGGTGGTGGGTGACGAGGGAGAGGCAGAGGGGTGAGCAGACGAGGGGAGAGTGGTGGCTTGTAGGTGCAGGCATGTGAGCGCCATGGCGTATGCGATGGCACCATAGCCCGTGTGCGACACAAACAGGAACTTCACGTTGGGGCCTCGGCTGGTGGGGTGCAGGGTGGTGAATGGGGCGAGGGCGGGTGGGGTGAGGGTGACAGGGAGTTGTGGGAACAGTGTAGGGAGCAGAGAGGGGGTAGAGAAAGCAATCAAGGAGTAAAATGAGCTGTACAAGCGGCATGGAGAGTGCAGGGTGACGGATAGTGCTGATTTTTCTCTAGCTGCGCTGCAACTTTCTAGACTTCAGCATATCTCCAGGATCCGGCATCGCAACACGAATGAGCTTATCGAAACGGAGAGGTGCCGCCAAACAGGGTGGGGGGCAGGGGATGGCAGGCAGGATGGCAGGCAGGATGGCAGGCTTACCTTTGAATGTAGAGCTGCAGCGCGTCGACATCGGAGGCCACAGGGACTCTCTCCCGTGTGAGGGGGATGCGCCGGTAGTCCACCAGGTACCCCTGCTGCTCCCTCAGCTCGCGGTACACCTGTGCTGGCGTCTTCACATCGTCCCGCCCCACCGCCCGCCACACGCCGATGATCTCCGTGGGGCCCATCGCTACAGCGGCTCCTGATGCAGGCGGGTCAGCAGCTGTGCTCCCTGTTGCGTGCTGTGCGCCGGTGGTGTCACCTGCAGCAGCAGACGCAGCGCCACCACCAGCAGCAGCAGAGCCACTTTCCACACCGCCACTCCTTCCAGCAGCAGAAGCAGAAGCAGAAGCAGCTCGGGCAACCGCATTCTCACTGCCACCCACGCCCGCACCCTGCAGCACGTGCCCCTCCCTTGGCCGCTCCTTGTGCAGCAGCACCATGCCGCCGCAGCGAGCAGCCTCCTGCAGGATGTCTGCCTTGAGCCGCTCCTCCATGGCCGCCACGGCGCTGCCAGCGATGCCCACGTGCTTGAGAGCGGCCGCGGGCTGGTCGCCATCACGCAGCACAAAGGGCTTGCCATGCACGTACACCACCGCCTCCTCCCTCAGATCCACTATCACCACCTCCGCCTCCCCCCCTGCTCTCCCATCCACCTCTACCTCCCTCCTCTCTTCAGCCTTCCCATCCGCCGCCATTCCCCCCTCTCCCTCCCTTTTTGCTCCCCGCTCCCCGCCCAGCCTGCCAGTGTCGCCCTCACCAGCAGTGCCCCCGTCGGGTGTTGCTGTTGTGGGTGGTGGCTTGGGCTTTGGCACGGCGCCCAGGTGGGCGAGCACGGCTTGTGCGCCCTGCACTGTGGGTGTTGCCATGCTGTGCACCGGGTACCCGGGGGCCTGGCAGGAGGGGAAGGGGGAAAGGTGGGGCGAGGTAAGACATGGGGAGCGGGGAGGGATGATGGAGTGAGGGACGAAAACAGAAGCGCCCTGCACTGTGGGTGTTGCCATGCTGTGCTGTGCACCGAGTACCCTGGGGCCATGCTGTGCACCGAGTACCCTGGGGCCTGGTGGGAAGGTAGGGGAAAGGGGTTGGGCGCGGAGGGGTGGAGGGGAAGACCCGGGGAGAGGCGAAGAGGATGGTGGGATGAGTGGGGGTGGAAGGAGCGCCCTGTGCTGTGGGTGTCGCCATGCTGTGCGCGGGGTGGGGGGCTCGTGTAGGATAGGAGGAACAGGATGGGTGGGGGACGGGCGCTAATGGTGCGACAGAGCGATGACAGGTAGGTGGGCGTGGTGGGTGGGCGTGGTGGGTGGTGCAGATTGGGTAAGTGGATGCTTACTGGAAGCGCAGAAGGACAAGGCCAGGACGAAAGGACGAAGTGGGAGATGTGGGACGAAGAGGGAGATGTGGGACGAAGAGGGAGATGTGGGACGAAGAGGGAGATGTGGGACGAAGAGAGGGAGAGAGAAGAGGGCAAGCGTGAGAGGGGGAGTGGGAGCAGCAGACCTCGAAGTAGTTGGGGACGTGGGGGATCTGAATGGAGTAGTTGACGGCGGACGCCTGCAGCCCGGGGAACAGTGACAGCTTCAGGATGGACCCGCGCCCCAGCACTGCCCCCCGCCGCGCCCGCAGCACCGCATCCTCCGCCTCCCTCTCCTCCACCGCCGCCGTTGCCCCGCTGGCACTCGCATCGCTGTCTCGCAGCCGCACTCCCACCTCCTGAGAATGCAATGTGCCAAGGAGGGGGAGTGGGAAGCACTACGGTTGAAAACCATGGAATAAGACATGGCATGGTAATACTGGGTGCGATGTGGTGGGATGTGATTGTCTGGGTGGAAAGAATTGGCATAACATGGGACGTATGCACACACAAGGAAACAAATTGGACGAATACGGTGTAGCATAGTTGAAGGCAAGGCACGCATGGACTGTGGGTGATTGGTTAGGGTGAGGCAGGGCAGCCCACCGGAATGGTGAAGAGGCGAGCCGGACGCAAGCGCAGGCCCCACTTCATCTGGCGGATCTCCGGCCGCCTCTTCAGCCACGCCTTGAAGCTCACCGCCTCGCCCTCTCCCTCTCCTCCTTCTCCCTCCCCATTACCTTTGGCCTGCCCTTGCTCACTCACCCCCCCACCTTGCTTTTCCCCCTCTCTTTCTCTGCACCACCCTCCCCTGCATCTGAGCCTGCAGCCTCGCCACTGGCGGCTGTGGCAGAGGAGCTGGTCGCAGCAGGCAGAGAGGGGCAGAGGCGCGGAAGGGCCGTGTGGGAGGAGGGCAGCGAGGCAGAGGAGGAGGAGGAGGAGGAGCGCGGCCAGAGGGAGGGGGCGGCGGGGCGGAAGAGCGATGAGGAGAGGTAGGCGGCGAAGGCGATGAGCATGACGTAGCGCTCCAGGAACTCCGCCCCGCGGCTCAGCGCGCTCTGCCTCGTGCGCGCATCCGCGTCCTGGCAGCGCGGGTGGGGTGGGGGCTCAATGGCGAACGTGAGTGTAGAGTAACCACAGGAGGTGGAGAAGGGTGCAGGGTTGCACTGCTAAGACATGCACGACGTGGGGCGGTGCGCAGCATGGTGCAGCGTGCGTGCACCATGGCATGG